GTCCAAGTCACTAGCAGTATCGTCGTTGCTTTTTAGCCAATTGTCGTCCACTTCTAACATGTCGAGCAGGGTTTTCAACGATTTGTCTACACGATTCCAGCTTGTCCTTGTGTTGCTGTGTCGTAATTGGTTTGCGTGTTTCCGCATCAGTCTTCCTTCCACGGGGACCTCATAGTTGACCTTCCCAAGGCGTTTTGCGACAACTCCTTGCTTCCATGTGGAGTGTGGGGCTTTCCACATCTGCGCGTACACGTCGTCTCCCTTATGGAATTCCTTCGAAATAGAACCGTTTCTCCTGTCGTATTGCTGCTTCATCTTCCTTCCATTTTCTTCGGCGTACAACCTTTTCAATGATTCTGTTCTGTCCTCAAGACATCTGTGTGTGGTGGTTCGGTGTGCTTGCCGTAAACATTGAAAGTATCCTTCTGTCGGTTTCTCCTTCCCTTTGAGCTTTCTCTCTTCAACGTTTTCTTCAACTCTCCTTTACGTCTGGGGTTGCAGTTGGCCTTCACTTCAGCCATCATTTCTATGTGGTACATCAAATTCTCATTTGCTCGAATCCATTCGAGACCCAAAAGTGAGCTATGCGGCGTCACATAGGCGTCTCCTTCAGTAGTGACACCTTTCATGGTAATCTTGCATTTAAGCTTTCCATGTATCTTCATGGAATCTCCACTTGCGTTTTTCACGACTATATTGGTCTTTTCCAATGCTGGGGAGCCCATCTTCTTCCAAATCTTCTCGTTCAGTAACGTGATGTCTGATCCAGTATCGAGAAGAAATTTGACTGAGTAGTTGTTCACTACAGCGTCGATGTACACACGGGAAGAGTTTGCCTGAACTGCTGCATTTGCAATCTTGACGATTCGTACTTGTTTTTCTCGGACCTCTGTTTGTTTCTGTTCCGTTCGAGAACTTCTCTTTAGTATGCTGAGTTTTCTGCGTCGCCTCTGTGCGACTCGCAGTCTTCTTTTGTCGTAAAGTGTCACAAAACCTTTCCTTGTGACCGACCTTCCTGCACTTCTTGCAGAACCAAGGTTTCGCTTGGCATCCACTAGCACGATGGTTGCCTTCACAGTTCCAACATTCTATTTCCTTCCGCTTCTGGACGGACGTGGCTTCCACTAGTTTCATAGTTCCGGCGACAACTTCACTGTCTCTCTCTCTTAAGGCTTAAGAAGTTTTCGCACTCCTGATGCAATTGTTGCAGTGAGACCGTTTTGCCTGCTTTGTGGTCTCTATCCAGTATTGTGATCAGCCTCTGCCTGATCTCTGCCTCCTGCTGTGACTTCAGTCCAAAAATCCACAGCAAGCATTTGATTCCGTCCGAGTCTAGCTCGTGAATCTTTGCTCTCTCGCAAAATTCATCTACGAGGAACGCGGTATAACGTGAGGTAGTCTTTCTGATTGGCCTCTCTGCTAGCGTTGAGACAGATGATATCTTCGTGGTGAACATGACTTGACTAAATCAACAGTTGCTTGAGTATGTTCCTACCGTCCTCGGTGAACCGATTTCTCGTCACTGATCTCTTGGCAGCACTAATGTCTCTGGTACTTCTCGCAAAGAATATATGGATTCCAGTTTTCGCTAGAGCAATGCCTTAACTTTTGGTTTCTTCCAGAAAAGCTGCTTTGCGTCTTCTATAAAGCACATCCTTGTATCTTGAAAACCTATTTGGAGAAATACGCATGTCTCGTGCATCCGGTCGATACACCAGAACTTTTCGATCGTGTTGCTCCAACGCTGCCATCAAGTTGTGGAGTGCTAATGATGCTTCGCGGTCAGTAGTTGCGTGGTCTTCCCTGTCCCGACGTCTGAATGCGATCTAGCAGTTTGGCGATAACATTCTTCTGTTCGTTCATAACATTCCTCTGTTCGTCCATCATTTCTCTAAACATGGTCAGGATGGTGGTCACATCCATTTTCCAAGTGTAGATGTGGTTGTCCGGTGAGCTGACTGCGGCTTCTGTCGATACTTGTGCTTGGCTGGCACGCTGCTGGTTATCCGATCCTGACCACGTGCCTTACAATCCAACTGTGCAGGTAACAAGGAAAACCGACTTCTATCAGAGCAAGAGTAAAGACTTATCTGCTCGGTCCTCGTCCGGTTCTCGCTGAGAATGTGATATATCGGATAGATAGATAAATAACGAGCAGATATATACGGCTAGTATTCTGCACAGTCGAATAAAAGGAGATCCTGCACGAAGAGGTCCTTAATTCTTCTTCGTGAGTAAAACACAGACCACTGGTTCTTCTGCTGTGACCAGAATCCTTGTCTTGCTTTGATCCTGGTCCTGGGCTTCCCTTGTTCTAATTCTTCTTCTTTTGGGGAATCCTGGTTTCCTTGCTTGAGTGCTGGATCGCTGATCGCCACTGTTGATATCCTGATCGCCACTGTTGGATCCCTGACT